ACATGCCATGAATATCAGGAGTAAATACACTGAGTTCAAACCATGTGTCTATATAAAATGAATATCTTGTTATTGTTATGTGTTGTATAAAATGGTATATTGCACTACAAACTTCACTAACAAAGCTGCATTCTTTCTTGTTTTCACATGGGTTCAAGAGCTACATTTCTACAATGCCATCAGATCAATAAAAAATTAAAACAATCATTAGTAAAATATTGTCAGTTATTATACTAGACTAATGGTGCGTAGGCCTATTTGAAAGAAATCAAAGTTTAGGTATTTGCTAATGAAATGTATAAAAATCATGTATATGATGTAATATACACATTGTGACTGGAGTGGTACCTTCCATATGCAGCCTCTTTATGCGTTCCCATTTTTCCACCTGTCTCTCTGTTGCCTGTCCACTCTGGGCCTGTCTGCCAGCTTGTGGACATCTGTTTACTTCCTGCTCCATCAGTTGTCATGGCTGCGACCCCCCTCATCGCCACACAGACCCCTCCTCTCGATCATGTTTCCTCAGACACCAGCTGGGACACACTTATGCTTCAGCAGAACTCACAGAGCCTTTAAGGTCTCCTTTAATATGACAGTAAATCCCATAGTGTTTAAGAACTGACAGTGCATGCTATATACTGCCACAGAAGCATCTTAATCCCAAATCTCAATAATAAAGGCCACTTCATATCATGTTCTACATAAATGTTGTGAAAAACCTTTTTGTGGAATAAATCTGCTAATTCCACAGTCCTCAGGCTGGGAACACTCCTGCATTCATTTGTATGATCACTGGGCTAAAATAGTACTAAAATTTGCTTGTAGACCTATTGGTTTATTAGAAATATATATATAGAATATCGAGACACATGTAGTTAACAGATTGAGTGTCTTACAATAATACATATGCACTGATTGATTGAAATCATTCTGTTTTCACAGTTCTTGAAGAGGTTGCCATAGAAACTCTACCTGACCTCATCCAACCTTCTGAAAACCTATTTTCAGCTTTCCCATTGTAAGCCAAAAATATTTGGTCTGAAACTGTATTATTCAAGTCTGTATTAACCACAAAAAAGGTCCTTGAGTCTGTAGTAAAATATGATGAGGTCATGATGACTGAGTAACCTTCACTGTTAAATTATTCACAACAGTTGTAAAATCTTGTCTCTTCGTCCACTGCCTCATGAATCTCCTGACACATAATTGTATACAGTAATATGGCAAAGTGTATCCTTGATTTTTGTGGTGCACTATATTTGAGTTTGATAGGTGACGTCAGTGAGTGTGCACAGACTGTGATCCAGACTGTCCAGATAATTGTTGAAATAATCATGGAGTAAATGCAGAATTGAATACTTGTACCTAACTGAGTCACTTGTTGGTTACATCTAGAGATAGGTATACCCTGCCATACATTTTACTTCTGCTTAAGTAATTGAATATTGAAGTAACAGTATGCATTACAAGCCTAAACATACATGAGAATGTTTAAAAATGTATTTATTTATGATTTATTGTTATTTGCTTCAGAGTAGAATTTGCACAGAATCATTATAGTTTTGTCAATTCAAATGTATATATTATTAAGTGTTTGTGGTAATTGTGTGTACAGTTAGGCTTTAAGGTGTTTTGTTATGAGTAAATTGACAAATACAGATTTCCACTGGTGACACAGCATTGTAAAGAAGGCTACACTGCAGTGGGGTGGAAGGGTGAGGGGGGTGAGGGGGTACAGTGATGAATCAAAGGTATGTGTGACACGCAGAGGAGAGGCTGCAGTGGGGCAACAGCTGATTCAATATAGGGCATTTCCATGAAGCATGAGATGAGTGCACAATGTGTTGACAACTCCTATAGGCAAATAATACTAAATAATCACAATTCAGCTAAGTCTGTTCTTTTTGTTGAATTGTTGATGACATCAGCTGGAAAGTATCAATAGTTTTCAAGACTTTTGTTTAAGTTAAAGATGTTTTATCTCTCATCCAAGATGTTTTGTCAATTCAGTTATATGGTCAGAGCAATCCAATCATGATCTCATCCCTGTGATGATCTGCTCATATTGTGATTCACTATTTTCCCCATTTCCTGCAGCTGTCTACTCAAACAAAAACACTTTTCCCCACCAACGTCTCCTGTTGATTAGCCTCTGTAAGGCTCTGAGTGAGTGAACTCACAGTGAAGAGTGAACATTAGATTACATTATTACTTTATTTATCTCTTAATGGCAATAGAAAAATGCATGAATTGTGAAAAATAAAAGTCTTACAACCTTTGAAACTTTTCTTATCATACCAATCACTGCAAAAGGTTGATGAAAAAAGTAAAAACTGCACTGTAACAAAGTATTTAATTATACAACAGTTACCCCAGTAGCTTTACTTAATTCATAGATCTCTTAACGCTGCAAGGTACTTAGTTTACATAATGCAAAGGTAAACAGCTATAGTTTTCAACAGAAAGGAGTAGTGGACTTGTTGACGGAATAATAATAACATGGCAACACAAGAAAGATACATTAGGGACAGATCCAGGCTGCAGTATCAGTTTCCTCCTTTACACACTGTTACAATAATGAACATGTCAACAGTTCACACATTAGTATTTTGACCCAGTTGACAAGGCCCAGGGGTCAAACTGCCTACAGCTTTTTGCACAACAGCAGTAGATAACCATTTCATCATTTCCAGTCCTGATAGTACATTTGTGTCTCTCTTTCCCTGAAGGAGTATCCAGTGTCCACAGCTCACCTTTCGTCCGTGTATGACGCCGCCTGGGAAGCCTAAACCAGGAAAGTTGCAACTAACACCGCACTACAATAACCAGCACAGGGTCTTTCATTGTAATGAGCTACATAGCCACAAGGTTGAGCAACACTTACATCCTGTCATCTAATCTGACATCACTGTGAACAAGTTTATTTAGTTCAAACTTTTTCCTCAAGTTCTAAAGGTGCATTATGTAACTTTTCTGTTTCTATCTATCTCCATGGAAACAAGCAGGTGAGGTGACATTACCTGGCCAAGTTACAAGTCAAATCTGTGTACAGGATACCCACATAAAGTATTGTTATTAAGCACTAAAATCATCTGGAAATCATTTTAAAGGTTCATATTACCTGATCTGTGTTCTTATGTTGTTTCCTCATCACAAACATGGAATTGTGTTTTGTTTCTTTTACACATGTTTAACACACAAACCCTGCATATTTAGGATGAGTTATTCTCTCAAACGGAAAACATTCGTGTTGTGTAGTACAAGAAGTGCTCCACTATGTTTTTAAACTCCTTACACCTTCACTAGAATCATTTGGATGATTTCAGCCCTGGAATTGCCAATGTGTACTGAACTAAAGGTTAATGGAGCTTTTAAGTCCATCACAAGGTGAGAGCATTTTGATCTTTGGAGATCCAGACAGCCCAATAATAAGAGTTACTCATGTGTCACTACATGTGTGAAAGAATGAACTACAACTTCAACTATGGCACTACTGCTACCAGGTTATCAAATACTATCGCTCTGCGCTATACCTCAAGAAATATTACACCCTTCTTAAATAAACTACTGGAGTAAATATATTTTGTTACATCCCACCCCTGGCTTATTGTGAAGTATCAGTTACATTCGTATGATTCGTTGTGGTTAAACGCCTATATTGACCTATAGATCATGTTGCCTGACAATAAAATACTTGGTGGGAAACAGAGGAAGAGGTCAAACACAAGTGCACAGACATTCATGCTTTTATTCCCCTTTACAAAGAGTTGCACCAGACCATAAACTTAAAACGGATCTTTGTCTCCTATAACCACATAAGAGCAGAGTCAATCAGGCAGGTGCACAATGTCTCAGTGCTCCAGGACACGCAGAGGACATGACATATCACTTGTACACTCACTTCCCAAAGTTTATCAAAGCCTCTTTCATGTGTGAATTGCATTTATGTCCTACCCAAACAAAGGGGACTCAGATATCAATTACATTAATAAGCTTTATGAATCTTACAATTAGTTATTCATCACCAAAAGAAAGTTATTATGCAAACGTGGGTTGGACGTTCATTCAACCTATGTAAAGCTTATTGCAACTTGAAAGCACTGTCAGCACATCAGAGATAGCGATAACTGCATTTGCCATTAAGCTTACGTGATTTTTACTAAATGAGACATTAATGGTCATATAATAAGCCTAAAGCATTGTTTTATTTATTCTTCCTAATTTTCAACATAAGCAATATGGTTATCCAAAGATCTGCTTACAACAGCAAAACTTTTTTCATCAATATTGACATTTTTTTTAAGCTGAGGGCCACAGACCAGTGTTGATACAGTGGATCATTCACATTGGTGCATTTAACACAACTTTGACAGAGCCCCTGAACTTAAGGCTCAGTCATCTATGGTCTGTGTCACAATACAGTATGGTGTCATTAAGGTAATAGTGGTCGAATTACTTCAATTTCTACTAAAAGGTTCTACCTATGTTCAACTGGGCCAATTCAGCAGGGAGCTTGAGGGTCAACAAATATTGGTCTGAGGGCAGCATTTGGCCATAGTTTCGACACCCTTGTCTTACAAGCATGGATTTGCTTTGGCGTTCTTGTAGTCATTAATTCTTTCTAAATAGGCAAATGAAAGCATTACACAAAATAAGACAGAAAGGCTACACGTTAAAAATATACTATAAATATATACTATATTCATTTTTGTACTCTTCAGTAGACATTGAAGTTGGGAATATGCACTCATATCTGATTTGTTATTTTGTTTAATAATTCCTTGCCATCAAATAAATGTCTGACACCATCAGCCTCTCCATTGTGTCCATGTTGCGGGTATGTGAAGGGTGACATCACAGTTTTGCAGCACTGTTCCTCAGCCCAATCCTCTGGTAGCTGCATGTGCACCTTCAGTGGTTCAATGGGTTTACCGGGTGGGCGTGTCCATAGTTAGCTTGGCTTTAGGACCCAGTGGCTGCTGCTCCAGAGAAGGCAGGCACCAGGCAGACAGACAGCGGCTCAGCGCTCACTCTGAAGCAGACAAAGGCGAGGGGAGAGACGGTGTGCCGCTAAACCTCTAAAGCATCGGCCCACTCTGGTTCATTCATTCCACATCACTGCCTACAGCCACCACTCAGGTAAGAAAGCGACAAAACCGGGCTAATTATTAACAACACGATTGAATCAAGCCATGAAAACTTTAATATGTACTTTTTTGAGCATTTAATTGATTCTATAATTGGTGATTGAGCAGGTAGCCATGTAGGTGTGTAGAAACTACAGAGAAGCCCTTCTTTTTAGATAAAACTCGCATCATCTTTAGTCGCTGCCATGTGCTCTTAAAAAAATAAATAATTAAAAAATAAAACTTATCTGTTTGGTGGTAATTAAATTATTTTTCATGCATTATGGATATAATATTTAATAGCTGAATTGGATTGGATTGAAAATCGGTGCTTTTGCTCATTTTAATTCCGATAAGAGCTATGTAATTGTGAAGACAGAGTGAGTGGGCTTGTGTGGGTGGGTGGCTTACTCACAGTTAGACTTGCACAAAATGTCATTGATAGCCCATAATGACACTGCAGTGGTGCCTAAAGCTGAGCACATGGTTGGATAGAGGAGACATATCATTTAATTGATGAATAGAAAAAGGCTATTAAGTACAGTAGCATATAAAAATGGAGAGAAATAGCCTATTAACTAGCTGGACTTTCTTGCTTATTATAAAAATAGCCTGCAAGCATATAGACCAGTTGTGCTTGGTGATGTCAGGCTAAAGGCAGTCCCCTGTTGCCTTGAGACAATGGGACAGTCCCAGTTGATGCTCCGTTGGGGAAGGGTCAGTGTTGGATCTGTCCATTAGTGGAGCAGATGGGCTTGAAACCTGGCCTTTGTGAGACCCTGGGCCCCGGTCCCGCCCCTCTCCGCCGCGTGCCTGTCACAAACCTCAGTCAGCATGAAGGCAGCAGAGATTAGCAACAATGAACTATGATGCTTTTTAAAGGCTTTTTAATGTCTCCGTGGTCATCTGCAGTGTATGTGGATTAATAAACAAATAATATTACATGTAGGTCAGGCAAGTACAATATCTAGAAAATATAGTCTCTAGCTGGTTGGTCATAGACTGCATGTGATACTCTGAGGGTGGAATAATCGGATTGTAGTTTTTTAAAGTTTGTAAATATGCTGTACACAAAGAAGTATGTGGGCACAGTATGTATATTTACACACAAGGTCACATTTTAAAGGCATCCAGAAGAATTTACAAAAAACTTATATGAAATGACAAAAAAGAATCACACAGAACATTTTTGTACAGATCTACACTACAGGATTAGCAGCTTTTATGCAGAATAAATTGAAATATTTTGCTGTTTGTGGAGGAAATAGTGGTACTGAAAATTACAATCTTTGCAATTTGCTAATTGTATTCATTTGAACTGCAATGTAAATTCAATGGTAATGATCTTACAGCCTGAATTTAAATTGTAGAAACTGTTGAACTGGTTTTAATATGACCTTTCAGTTCTGTAGTAAAATACTAAACACATTAGTCTACCTAGAAACTTATGACATTTGCATAGGTTTCTTCCTTGGTAATAAGTGCAACATTGTCTATGGCAAACTTTGTGCATGACAAAGTGAATGTATCTCAATGATTCTTGAAATTCAACAAATTGACTCAAGCTGCATGCTGGATGTATACATGGTGAATTTGTTGCACTGAAGGGGTGGGCTATATTGACAAAAAAAATTGCTGTAGGGCTGCACACTAATCTAATTGTGGTTTTGCATTAATATTGCTTGAAAGACTGACTGATAAACAAATACAAGAATTCAATAAATTTTACTGTTTGTAGAGGTCTAAAGCTACAGGTGCAATTTTTTTTTTCTATAAAAAGCAGGATATTTAGTTGTTTTATTGAGGACATTGTATTATCTTGTGTAGGCCTAATTTGTTACATTAGACTGTAAAATGCAACTGGGATTAAAATAACTACTGTGTTCTTTGCAGGCTCCCTATTTGATCTTTGCCTACACACCTTCCAGTGACTATGGAGCTAGACTTTGGACATTTTGACGAGCGTGACAAAAGCCGTACTCCTAGAGGTGGTCGTATGAATGGACTCCCCAGCCCTACCCACAGTGCCCACTGCAGCTTCTATCGCACACGCACACTGCAGGCGCTGACGAGTGAGAAGAAGGCCAAAAAAGTGCGCTTCTATCGCAATGGAGACAGGTACTTCAAAGGCATCGTGTATGCAGTGGCCAGTGACCGGTTTCGCACCTTTGACGCTCTCCTGGCTGACCTCACGCGATCACTGGCTGACCACATCAACCTGCCACAAGGGGTCCGCTTCATTTTCACCATCGATGGGTCACGCAAAATTTCTACTTTGGATGAGCTAGAAGAGGGTAAGAGTCTAAAATAGAAAACAAGAGAACACTCTTATTTTTGGCATGGTCAGAGATTACAAATGCCTTTCTTAGTCTAGACTTCTATAATCTTTCTTTAATGTTGCGTCTACTCCTAATCTGGGCTATTTTGGTCCAGTGCACTGACATCATGATTTGTAAAGACATTTTGAGTGTTGGTACTATGATGTACAGCATGACTGCAATAAATCAAAACAAATATATTTGGATGTATTATGGTCTTTATCCCTGTCAGTGTGAAAGATGACACCAAAAGGATCACTGAGTCTAGGATGAATGTCTCACTGATGGAGAGAATTAGCATTTGAATTCTTAATACATCTTTAGAAATCTCCAGTCATTTTTCAGAAATGCTCAAATTGCTTGTCATATGTAAACACAATAGTTTTTAATCCCAGTTTGAAGTACTCTGCCTGGACCTGTTAGTTGTTTTGATAATTTGTTGACTTATAACTATTGCAACTATTTCAGGATCTCACATAGAAGATATTTAGGTCATGAATATATTTTAGTCAACGTCTTTTACCGTTGGATCTTTTCAGATATGATTTGCTGGGGATGAGGATTGAGGCTTAATTTTCTGGGAGGAAAAATCAGGTTTTGGGGATTTTTGAGCTGCTTATACAAGTGTGTGTCAGGATGATTTCTTCTTACTGGGGTAAAAGGGCAGCACTCTTCTTAATGGTTGGGGCATTTTCACTGAGCTTCCTTCTGTGGGGTATAATTAATTGCTCAATCTCCGCTGCACTGTGTAATCTTGATTCGTCTTTGTCTGCAGCAATTTCTCCACTTTAGATCTAATTGTTGCCTTCTGGTTCTCTCCATTTACCAAATTCCCCCCCAGTTTCCCTTCCTGTACAGGCCTTTGTGTCTAGCTTGCATTGCTTATTGTCTGAGCAAATACTGAACAATGAAACAAGTAAAGAAAAACATAAACTCTCAAAAAGCTGCAGAGTTGGAACATGTTTAAGTAAAAGCTACGGGTTGGGCAGTATTGACAAAAATTTATGTGTTGATATTTTCATCTCTAGATCTTGAGCTAGGCTTGATCAAGACTGCCTTAGCTGGAGGATTATTTGGAAGATGGTTGTGCATGTTTTTTGCTTATCTCCAGCAGTTATGATAATATACATTTTTTAATATATGAACTTGATGCCTCGACTTTAGAGAAATGTTTCAAGAACTAGAAAGATGTGTAAATAAAATAAAGTTCAACCATAGTGTTTAAGAGTTTCATCATACCTGCAATATTCCTTTTTTGCACTGTTAAAATTGGACACTAGCCAACATCCCACTAACCCCATTTTCTCTGCTACCACAGGGGAGAGCTATGTCTGTGCCTCAGAAAACTTGTACAAGAAGGTGGACTACACAAAGAACGTCAACCCCAACTGGTCTGTGAATGTGAAGGCCTCAGCCAACCAGAAGAACATCCAGTCTCTCGCTGCAAAAGCTGCTAGTGAGCCTAGGGAGAGTAAAGAGTTTGTTCGGCCCAAACTGGTCACCATAATGAGGAGCGGAGTCAAGCCTCGCAAAGCTGTCCGAGTCCTGCTCAACAAGAAGACTGCACACTCCTTTGAGCAGGTCCTCACTGACATTACAGAAGCCATCAAACTGGAGAGTGGAGTGGTCAAGAGGATCTACACACTGGACGGCAAGCAGGTATGGCATAACTGTGGTGACGTTATGTAAAAGTATCTTAGACTTAGACAAACTTTACTGATCCACAACGGAAATGATTTGGACACAATAGCCCTCACATCACAATATAATATAAATAATAAGAAAAAATAAAAATGTGTCAAATAAGGCATAATTTTATACATGTATAGAATTTCAGGAGCTACTGTGACCTCCTGCCATTCTCTCAGGTGCTCAGGTCAGAATATTGCTCAAGGGATATTAGGATTGCTGACATTGCGTTAATAATTCATAAAGATGAAAAACTACAGTAAATATGGAGTTCTGACCACCAGCATAAAAGCTAACAGTACAATAGGAAAAATTGTGGTTCAGATTCAATGCAGTTCCTTGTTCAGAACCACCCACAGACGAAATGATATCATCTGCATCAAAGCAAAAAGCTAAATGATTTTCCTTGATATGCAAAAACCCATTCTATTGCTCTATTGTACACTGAAGAGACTAGACTAAGATAAAATCCCATTGTTCATTGATGCCCATGCCATCATAGTGACACAGCAACTTCATGAGAACAAGGATGAAAACCAGTGGCTATGGGAAAAACCTCTACTTACAATAATGTCTGCTTGTGGGTTAGACTTTTTGCCTCATTAGCTTCAGGATTGTGGTTTGGGTCAACTTTTGTACATAGATATGACCAGAGCCTCTGTTCACATCACCTGCTGAGTCTAGGTTCTGCCTTTAAGCTACATTGCTGTTGAATCAGAATATAAGACCAAGCCCTGTATTGTTCTGTTTGATCACTTTGTCTTCCATTGTTACGATGTTTGGTCTGGTGCTTACACAGTTTTAGTTAAATTGTGACATTGACAATATTCTCCTTTGTAATTATGTGCAGCATCTTTTATAAGAATGAATGTAAATGAGAAATGAGTCCAGATTATTTTATCTTGACAGTGGCACGTGAATCATACACATTTCAGCTATAGTTGAATGCAAATTGTGTTTCTGTGGAAGTGTAAATGCTAATTTGACACCAGATCTTATAGCCTACAGTAGAAGGTAATTTAACTTACAAATGAAAGCATAGGTGTGCATACTGTAGGGCTGTCTTCTATAAACATGCACAAAAGCATTTCCAGCCAGAGCTACAGGAGCAATGGTACTCTGCATGTATAACTAGACCATATTGTTCTTTATTTTGTTAATTAAGGTAACTCTTTGTTGTGCAAATGCAAGCAGTCAAGGCAGATGTCTGCACTTACCATGCACTGCCTATAAGTTATATTAATCTAGCCTTATTTAGCTGAAAGTTCAGGAAATGGGAGTGCTAATCAAATATCCTCGTGCCACTGTGGATTGTAACTAGATTTAAAATCTCTCTCTGGGGATTTTCATTATTTTCTTAATGTTCAGGACAGTTAAATGGGCAATGTTTTATTCAGGCTTTACTTGAGTTGTCCTAGGGGACGGCCTTTATCACTGTGCCACCTGGAACGGTTTGTAAAGGTCAGTACAGGGAGATGATCTTTTGGTGATCTTTAGGAGCAACCAATTTTGTGCACAAATCTGAGTAAGGCTCAGGCTCAACAAGGAAAGATAGAAATAAGAGAAATAAAATAGAAACATTCTTTTTTTGCACAAAGTAGGCTATTTTGTGTCCAATTGTTTTTCTGTGATCTCTTTGTATTGTAAGTTATTAAGATCACAAGCTTGAATATCAGTGTGGACAACTATTACCTGGTTGCATGTTCATTGATTCCCATGTCGAGACTATTTTGTATAATTCATAAGGGGGAAGGTAGACGCTGTCTGTCTATGGAGTTTGTAGAAATTTTATTTTAAGGGAGTTGAGGCTGTATGATGGAGCGGATTTGATTTTAATGCTCTCTCCGTGGGATGCTGTTGTCTGGCACTCCTCATTTTGGTCATAAGCATGGGGTCATTGCACCTTATGGGACATGTCCAGTTGGTATTTGATGAGACCATGCATTTTTAATGGTAGGCAAAGCTTTGAAAGGTCATAAAATATGTGTTTATATATGCTGCTTTCATTTTCACAGCTACCAAATGTATTATTCCCTAAAGTGTTTTAAAATTTACTACCTAACCTTTTTTGCTAAATGTTTTTTTGTGGGTGAGGGTTTGGTGACAGTATATCGTATTCTCTGCACTGTTGAGAAATAACTATGATCAGTCAGTTTGAAAATAGATCAATGTATATATGTCGATACAGCTGATCCCAACCACCAAGGAGCATCTTCCATTTTGAATAACTACTTATAATATACTTTTGGACATTTTTATTTCTTCTCCATTTCTTTCCATGGGTTCATCTACATCTCAGGCCTTGAATGGTTTAGTTGCAATGTGAGGCTTTCAATTTAGAGATAAACCCTATTCATATCTATGTGAGTGAAGGCGTGCATGTTGCCCTGGTCTTTGTGTGCTTAGGCAGACTGCAGCTGCTCTGTGCTGGAGCTGATATGGTTCGAGCATCTGTAGCATTGATGCAGCAATCAGCCCCTCCCAGCATCGTAACTTACTCCACCCATACCGCTTTCCTCTCTTTTTGGTCTCTCCTTCCTCCTCTCTTTGCTCCTTTCCTCTCCATCTTCTTCCCATTCGACTGCTGGTGCTGGTTGCTAGGAAACCGCATCCCCAGCACAAAGACCGTAGCCCAGCTGGTGTGGACCGGTCTGTCTGTCAGAGGAAAGCCACATCCTCAAGTGGGTGTGACTTTACTATCATGCTACGAAAAATCCCCCTTTGATTTATTTATTTTCCTGCTATGTGTCTCATTGGGCGTGCCTCTTTCATAATAATCAGGTATTTGAACTCATGCTCAGGAGACATGAATGCGTTATTGAATTTCTACAAAGACATGCGTGCTAATACTTGATGATTTTATTTCCTTAGTTTTAAAAGCTGATTGGCCGTGCTCTCTTTGTTAGCATTGTGCACCAAATCACCCTCATTCTGCCCTCTTTTCATTTCATCCAAAAAAGGGTGGGGCTGCCCGGTTTCAGGAGCCATTGGAATCCTCGAAGCAAATTAGGATCACTTTATATTGGCTGATGGGGAGTAATTATCATGTCTCACTAAAAAACACTTTTTGATTTACCCCACTGGCTGCGTTAATTCACAGAGCTTTATTAATTGCCAGAAGACATTTAGTATTCATTACTTTCTATTTGCACTTGAATAGAAGCTTTAATATAGATCCTTTGATTATTGCGATGGCTTCCTATGAGATCTTTGTCCAGTACCTAAATACAAAATAAGTAGTATAGGTAGCTAGTCTTCCAGGATTTACATTTTCACGGATTTTCATATTATCTGAAAATGGCATTCAGATATTAGCTGATTAAATATTCATACTGTGTATCATAGGCTGACTTATTAACAATGTAGACCCTAATATGTAATATAAGCTTATCAATAACTTTATCTTTTTAGTTTAAATCACTGCACATCATCAATGCAAAATTAACTGTAATCACATAACATGTTCAGAAATACACAGGATTTAAAAAAAAACATATAATACTATTTTATATATATTTCCATGTGGATCTGTTTAAAATGTGTATTGAACTAAATGCTACTAAAACATGTAATTGGTCAGACCTATATCAGATCATTTTCCAAAAGACTTCAGCAAAGACAGAAGGGAGATTGTAGCTGTGAGCATGCTTTAGGCACAAGGTCACACTGTTTTTGGGAAGAACAAAAGAAAAGTGTTTAGTATTGCTTTACACGTACTGCCTTAGTGAATAGGGTGCATGATGTTCTCTTTTATAAGAAGGAGCTAACCGAGAGATGCCATGCACCAACAGGGATGAAAGGACTGCATTTTGCCAGGTTTGTCTCCTGTCGAGCGCCTACTCTTTGCCACGCTGCAGTCAGTGTTGTCATGGCAATAAGCTTGTTGGTGATAGACTCAGTTTGACAATGGTTGTAATGTGCTGAGTGGGCTCCTTATGCTGGGGTTTAACCTGTCTGTACTCTGCTCCATTTAACACATCATCGAGCATGGTGGAGAATAGAGGGGTGTGGCACCGCATATAGAGCATGAGCTATAATGCATGTGAGCCATAATAATATAACCATTGCAAGGCAAACTGAATTAGGGGTCAAATATGATGATATAAAATCCAATTATGATCTGCCCGTGTCACAAGTTGCCAAGAAACTGTTATATCTGGCAGCATTGTTTCCCATTTAAGAGGAGAGTTTGGTGGCCCCCACATAGTCAAGTTTGCTCCCATAGCAAAGCAATAATTAGTAATAAAATATATGTTTTCCTTGTGGTATTATTATAAGTAAATAGAAGTAAGCTTATTAAAATTTTAACCCTTTTTGATTAATAGTAGCAATAAGTAACATATTACAAGCATGCCATCTAACATTTATCACTCAGTCCAGTCAATGCTCTAAGTCACTGACAGTCAAAATCAAAGTAGCATGAATTCTCAAACTGAGAATGAATGAATTCTCAGAATAAAAACAGATTATTATTCTGGTAATACTCTAGCAGGTACATGAATGAAGTGTGAATCATACACGTTTCCCAGATTGCTCACCGCTTGCTTTGATGAGTCAGAAGCAGGAAAAGTTGGAAAAATTTGAGTGAGCGTTTCCAAAATTGACTATATCTATATCTAATAGATATAGATATAGATATAAAACAGTGATGCCATACTAACAGTAGTGCATGGAGTTGGGTGATCATAAAACATTAAAACCACTAACTGCTAAGTTGTTAATTGTCTTGTACGTCAGTGTCTATTTGCATCTACTGTAAAAGAAGGCTTTTGAAACCACATCAACAAGTGAGCCTAGGGGAATATGAGCATGTCTGGTGTAATAATACTGAGGTCACATCAGTCAGACAGAATGGGAAGCCAGTTTCCTCTTGGACATTTTGGTCGGAGCTCCAGGCCCAGAACACCAGGCACCAGCTGCTCCCCTTGACGATGCAGATTTGGCTGTCTGTCTTTAGCCATGTGCGCTAAGCTAACTACATTCAGATCACCTCCAGATGTGGTTCATTAAAGGGTCATTCTAGTGGATAGTCAAGATGTAAAAGTAGCTGCTATCTCACAATTCAGGGTGGCCATATTATTTCTGTATCTTTTTCTGTCATTTTAATGATTTTAATTCTCAATATACTTGATTTACTAATGTGTTATTTTCTCCTGCACAATTGCAATAATACATTTTTCTGTATCTCCCATCTCTACTCACAATTCTTTATAGTAAATATGTTTGTCTTTTATGTGTGATTTCGTGCTAAAAGTGGGTAGTGTTTTTGGTACTAGTACACTGTAGTGCATTACATTGGCTTTCCTATTGATTCGGTCTTTGTACTTGCAGTAGCAAACTGTGTAGGAGTGTATCCCTGAGGCGTCAAAGCATGGACTAGAACCTCTCTTGGCTTTTGTGTTTTAACAAAGATCCACACAATTGTATCTCCTCAGCAACAACTTGAAGATGGGGATGAGACATTTTTGGTGCCCTGATTCATGCAGGTTCCCAAATGTTTTATAGCTACAGTTAACTGCTTGAGCCCAGACTTCCATAGTTTTCTTACTGACTTGGTTTAGTGACTAATGGATGAGCTGATGTAAAAAAAAAAAAAGGTAAAGAAAGACAGATGTTTTAGAAGACAAAACACTCAAGAGCTTTGTTTGAAAATACTTCCTGCTGACTCCTACAAATGCACTATCAATTTAAATGTATTAACATGCAGTGTGTGGTGCTAGACTTGCTATTTAACAGTCTCCTATTGTCTCTGCTCATGTAATTGTTTTGCAGCACAGCAAATCATATGCTTTAATTTGTCTTCACATCATTTTGATATTGTTTTGGTTCATGTCAGATGCCCATCGTTACAACAATCTGTCTTGGTGCTGACATTTTGCCTGTGACCCTTTTTAATTGGTTGATATCTCCATAGCATGAAGAGAACAAAAGGTACCAGTGACGCAAAAAGTAATCTATCCCAAATAATTATCAAGTTAATTAGTTTAAAGATATCAAATCCATTTTGACTGTTGTCTTTTGTCATAGCATTTGTAAATATATCACAATGCTAACTCAACAAGTGTCTTGATTTTACAACATTTACAGTCTTTACACTGGTGATGGTAAGGTGCTTGACCTTTTATAATGTTAAAAATAAAACTCCTTGTTCATTAAAACTGTAAGACGTTAAGTTGACTATCCATAGAACTAGTGTTGAATGATCTATAAAAAGCAATGGTCAGGGGTTAAAATAACTGAAGTAAACTATTCATTTATTGCTGTCTAGACCCTTGTTTAGCTGCTTGGGTGGGTTTTGGGGAATCATGTGGTCTGGACAGCTGGTAAGGCACAGATTAAGACAGTGGGCAGGGGGCATCGGCAGGCTAGAAAGAGCTAGTTGACCCATAGACCCACCCACTCGTCGCATTATCACCAGAAGACTCGCACACATACAATACATGCCATTAACTGTATGTGTGCCATAGAATTTTAAATGAATAGTGTTGGACATTGTTGTGTAAGGCTATTGCCAGGTGGTTTTGGAAGATGACCTTTTCTGAAAGACTATCACTTGTCCAAATATTTTCAATGAAAGTTAATCATACTTCTGCACCACATCGAAATGATTGGTTGCATTTTCATCTGTTTCTATAAGTGTAGAGCTTTAATATTGCTTTGAGATTGAAGTTGGTTGCTGAAATTACTCCCATTTGATTCCATAGATGAATTGGTGCATTGTAGGATAGGATTTGTGAGTATTTGAATCAAAATTCAACAGTACAATAATAACTGCAGAACATTAATTCATACTAATCCATCACAAAGCTAGAAGTTACCGCTAAGGGGTCTTAAGTTCAAGTGGATCTTATGTCGATAGACTTAAGGTAGCAGCACTTTATCCATTTAATCTGCTTTGACTTTAAAGCTATTAAAGCATAAGTAAGTCTGCTGGATGCTCTGGGCCTGTTATTCTTTGGGGTAAAGGCACTTTCTGTCTGTTTCATGATGCACAGTTAAATGACCTTGTGTCTATAATGTGCCTTTTCTGACAGACTTGAATATATTCTCTTGATAATTTTCTCAATAGATGCTCTATGTGCAGCCTTGAAAAGTGAAGCCTGTCTGGAAAACCAATTAGATTTTGATCCCCAGAGTTCGAACACCATCTCTGTGTATCCAGGGGACTCTCCGCGAGGTTCAGCTGCTGGATTCCTCAACACAAAGTCACCAGCACACACACTTACACACACACTAATACACACACTCACACTTGGAGCTTGTGGAGCAAGGCAGAGGACCAACATGGCAGCTGCAGGGGCACGCCGTTCCCAAAATGGTCCCTTACTCATAGTTCAGATGTATATCACATAAGAAGAGATTTCAATGTGGATTATTATTAGTCTATTTTTTATTTATTTATTTTTTTTTTACCTTTGTAAAAGGATCTAACCAAAATGAAATGTCAATTTTAAGCATTGTTGTCAACACTTCAGGCAAATGTAACTTACTTACTTTTTAATTTTTATTTTACCTTTTTACCTTGGGAAACTTCCAGCAGTTTTTGTATGACAATTCGTGTTGTAAGTTGTAATAGCAGTAGGAGTATTTGTAACTTTCTTTAGAACAAATGTTCCTGTAATAATGGCTGAAATGCTGTTGTTTTTAAGAGTATCAACAATGATAGTAATATCCAAGAGCCTGGGCACTTTTGCTTTTATATTTTCAAATGATAACTAAAATGTTTTAAGCATATTACATTTTAAGCACATCTCCCTTGACCAGAATGACGCAAACATGTATATCATGCATCAAGGTTAATATAGTTTCATTATAAATGTTTCAAGAATAAGGCTCAGAAAACCAAAGAAAAACCTGTGTTTGGTGTAAATGTCTGTTAATATATGAATGAAAAGGTAACAGGCCTGGATCACGTAAAGTGCAGGAGAAGGTGTGGTCAAAAGGCATCTGCCACAAGTAGGCCATATTGTGTCAGCAGCTGTTATATTAGAGAGGGACCCCAGGGAAAGAGATGAATCATGTAAAACATTACAGCCAAGATGTAACTGAAGATGGGACCTTTTTATGTTTATGTCTTTGTTGTTGGTGTATTAACCTGGCTGGCAAAATGTCCCAAAGCAGCTCTGGCATGGCCTCAGTCTGGTTTCTGCACCTCTTAATATGAGATGGTTGTGTGGTTTAGTAGAACTTCCCAATGGAAACTATTGCAATGTTATGGTGCATGCATATATTGGCAATATAAGTACCGTTTTTTTTTAACTTTTACTATAATGACATTACTATAGTCTGACTGTTTTGATCTTTTGTCTCACAGGTTACGTGCCTCCAGGATTTCTTTGGCGATGATGATGTCTTTATTGCATGTGGGCCAGAGAAATTTCGATATGCACAAGATGACTTTTCTCTGGATGAGAATGGTAAGCATCATTGGATTTTTGATGTTTTATAAAGCTATAAAAATGCGTAAAACTGTATAAGCTGCAGTGTTTCCAGTTAATTCCTTCCCATAGTCTAAAAGCAATTGGATGATCAGCATACTTAAAATAACTGCATAAAGATTTTATATAGGCAATTATGCCAGATAATTCTGAAACTATTTTATGCCACAGATACAAAAGCCCAAGAGCAGATTTAAACCATAAACATTAATCTAAATGTACAATAAACTTAAAAAACATGAGTTGCAACTAATAAATAATACAATGAAATGCTTTTTCACTTTTTTCCAACTGTAATGAGTCATAAAAATGATGAATTCAACCTTCTACAGCTTAAATCTTATCATATAAATCACGATAAATACTGACACCAAAAAAGTATTGTTCCAGCTTTCATATATTGACCAATAAGTCAATATACCATAGTAATTATCATGACAGGGCTATAGGCAATAAGCATAATCCAGAAATTGAGAAGTATACAAATAAAAAATATTGCACCACCATATTCTCTTTGAAATGGGGGAACACTTGACTATGTACATGAGATCCACAGTATTTTACCATCACATAGACCAGATCAACTTAATGCTCTTGACTGATTCAAATAGCCAGTCCAGTTGACAATGATTTATGGGAACATGATATTTTAGTCAGGATAGCCTCTCTGTCAAACGTACTACAATGATTTATTTCTACTAAAATTCAGAACCTGCCTCTCTCCTTTTGGGTAGCTTTATGTCTTCAACACAGTCAGTTGATTCTCTTTATTCCTAATTTATGTATTCAAGTCAAATGTCCTGGCCAGAGTAATAAGACTTAATATTTGGCACAAAGCGCAGTGAGACAGAAATAATCTATGTGGAATTAAAGCAGTGTAAGTATGTAGACAGCAGGAGACACAGGGAGAACTGTGTTATCTGTAGCCAGCAGCAAGAGCAAAAAGGGTAGGGAAAGGCAAGTCATTAATCCACAGTGTGACAGGTTTAGGCCAGCTGATCAGGAGGTGCTGATAGAGCAGAGAAATACAGAAGGAAATGGCGAAAGAAAAATCCAAATCTGTCAAATAGAGAAAGGTTTAAGACTGAAGATATTTTGTGGCTCATTTGAGTGGCTTCTTTACTTCTGATCAGATTGCTAGTGAGACGCTGCCTTATAGCTGTCTGAAGTGTCTATTTTTATTTATCATATTAGCCACCCACTCCCAGCTAATATCTGCATTCAAAGCACTCAGCATATCATGAAATGTCTATGCCCCATGAATATAATTCTAATTTGCACCACTTTCTCTTCATTACAAATGATAAAAGTTGAAATTGAATGATTTTAATTTCATCTATCTGGGTCTCCCATAGGATTTAATTCTAAATGGTTTTACACAAGCGACCATATTTTCAGGGCAAAGCTAAATAAAAAACAGACATCTAGTTTGGGGGCATCATAGAAAGTCTATGTTGACATCAGACGCCTAATGTTGCACTGCAAACCCACTTGCCTTAAAAGTTTATAGGTGATAATAACAGAAATCAGTCAATGCATTTTGGACTTCTTGTTGGTCTGTGTTTGGTGGTGGATGAATAAAAATAAAAGTGACATATCAAAAGATTTGTTGGAGGTAATGATAACGTGCTTGTTTTTTTTTTTTTTTTTTTGTATTTTATTCCCTTTTATTTTTTATAAATAGATATCAGGAAACTATAAAAGGTTAATGATTTCTATATTGACATTTCCTGCAAAAAATGTCTTTTGGGATATGGAAATGCACATTGATATCATGCAGTCATGTATTTTCTAACTGGGAATATCAAGCTTTTAAGCTTTTTGCACAGACAAAAATATTTGAAAATTCTATGAACCTTTCTCCATCTTGTGGGTATCAGTAAAACTAGATTACAGTGTCCAAAACGCATACTGAAATTAAAAAGTGATTTTTTTAAAAAAATGTATAGTTGTTGTTTTTTTATTTTCAGAGTCTCTAAAGAAAAATTATTTGCCTCCATACTACTCTGTGTAAATAGCCTTTCGTGTACAGCAGCAGTAACGATGTAAAGACATCTCAGATTTTCTCACAAGAAAAGTGGGTCACAAAAACTGAAGTTTTAGCACCATGTCTACTTCATACAAAGGATTTTTCAGAAAGACTAAAATAGATACTAGTTTCTAGTCCCATGTGGTTATTGTTCAGTGTAAAACACAGGATGGGGAGGAGCACCTGCAGTTTGGTGTAAGTGCTGACAGCATCATGTGTGCTATTCTGAGACTACTAAGCAGACCAGACAAGCTGCCAGTGTGAAGTACTGTCAAATGAGCCACGCCTTGAAAACAATAGACCTCCAATGTACAGCTGCAGCCACTAGTGTATGAAGGTTAGGAGAGATGACAGGCAGGAGCATCCCCAGAGAAGAAGGGAGGACAGATAGTATAATTAGCATTGATGGAGAAAGAGAGGAAGGATGGGAAATTGATTAGAGTGGCAGATGAAACATAAGGATGGGACTTAGGAGTGGCAGTGTCTGGAGTCTGTCTGCTCTGATTGAACAATGACCCAGAAAAGTTTACACAGAAAGAATCACATGGTAAAGAAGGCAATGAATAAAGCTACATTACATTAGCAAAATAATCTAGCCACATTCAAGTCATAAGCCAGTGTACTATTGTGCCTCTCCCAGGATAAATATTGGTGGTTGAATCTCTGTGGTGACCGCTGAAACCAGATGTTTATTAGAGAAGTGGACCTTTTGTGCCACTGAAAATCCCTTAGAAAGAGGAAGAGCAAAACATCATATTAAGTTTTTAATAATTGTTTATGTAAAGGGCTAATATTGCCATAACTATTTTTTCTTTCTTGCCAATCTTGTTTTGTCTGTGACAGAATGCAGGGTGATGAAGACACCCAAAGGTCAGAAAGGATCAGCAAAGAGCCCTGGGCCAATTAAACGGTGCAAATCTCCTGCTGAATCAAGTGAGTTTATCATTGTCTTTTAAATATATCTCTATTGGCCACTGAAATAAATAAGTGTCGTTAAGGCATCTACTATTATCTCTACACACCCTTTTCTCCAAAGCGTAATAAATAATGCATGCAACATAAACAAAGGGCCAACATCTTCCAGCTATTTGTAAATTAAACAACTGAACCCATCCTAGAGGCACAGGATCTTCAGGGAGATGGCTTTAACTAAATCTTTAATGTTAACAACTCCTTTTAACTTAAAATAACAGCCACATATTTCTCTTAAGATGTTTGTCCGACTCCAGAGTGGTTTTATAGCAGCATTAGTCGGGTGAGCAGTTGGCGCTATGAAACTGGTTCTCACTCAGGCTCTAACAAAAAAGTTGTTTTCTCTGTCAGCTCCTGCCAAACCAGAATATAGACAAATGTTATCATCATACAGTTTACACCACTACATGATTGTCTGAGGTTGGCCCTGACACAATAATTACTATATTGACTTGCCATTCAATAAGTCATACGTGAGACTGTTTTGGGGGATCAATAGTTGTGTACCTGTGTGTACCTGTACCTGTCACGAAATGGGTTAATTTGGTAAAAATAAATAAATAAGTAAATAAAAAAAATAAAAAGATTTGAGATTTGACTTCCATGACTAACTATGTACTAAATATTTAAATTCTGCTCTGTCTGTGTAGCAGTTGTTTTTTTTTTTTTTTTTTTTTTTTTTTTTTAACAATAGTGTACTTTTAGAAAAGGGTTTACTTGGATCCTGCCTTCAGATATTGCAAAAGTGGCATAAAGAATTTTCCAATATTATATTATGATAATTGCAGCATCATGCTTCATAATTTGTTATCATGACCATCCTAACTGGGAGTGGGTCATAGTGCTGCAGGGTCCTTGTGTCTTTAGTGCCTTTCTAACAAATCTTATTGATTATTGATGGGGGTGCCTCATCCTAAACATAGCAGATGGCAGCCTAAACATGTGAAACACAGGAAATATTGAGCATTAGCAGCTCTTGTTGTGCCCCGGAGGTCAAAGGTGATCTAGTGTTGTGGTGAGGAATGACTCTGGCTTGTTAAAAATGTAATAAGACATTTAGGAGTTTAAAACGGGGTATTTGGAATAGTTATTTTGAAACTTCCGCTGATCAACGACTAAAACAAATGTACATTCCTTTCTTATTATGAAATGGTGAAGAGATGGCCAAAGTTGTTTTATAAATGGTCAAACTGGCTTAATTTTGAAATATGCAAGATAAGCACCTCCTTCCTAGCTTGTAACATGCACACACAAATCTTGAATGTCTCTAATTGTATTCAAACAAAGAAATGGGGTTTACGAATTGTAATTGACATGAGTTTGAGCAGCTTGCTAAGTCTAAATCAGTTATCTGTCTGAATAGTTAAAAAAGCCTATTGCGTTTAGTTAACAATGAAGCTTTATCCTCTTGTCTTTCCCACTTGGCTTGAATTTACACTGGCCATCTGGCTCATAGTGTCTGAGATCTTTTCATCTTTTATGGGCAAAACTCTTTAACACACACACAGACGACCCCATTACACTGCACCACTCGTAGATATAAACAATTGTCCAAAACTGACTGAATCCTAGCAACTGTGAAGATGCAAAGTGGCTGAATTAAACATGGACCTTGAATGACTTTAGTAACATGCCAAAAACACTCAGGCGGTGCTTTTAAACCTACAGTGCATGGAATTCTTTGGGTGATTAATAATGGGTCTTTTGCAGTTCTCAATTTATTTTCTGGGTTAACCTGGTAAATATCTAGAATAAACATTTTGGTTATTGTCCAGGTTTTCTTGGATCAGACATTGTCTCCTCCTGCTCCTAGTTTAAAGCCTTACTGCATAAGATTTCATCCAAGAATCATCTTAAATAAACCATTTATTTATTGGTGTTTTTATTGGACTAAAACACTGCGAAAAACATATGCCTCCCCACAGACCTGATTCATAGCCTGGTGGTGCTTTTCTCCATACAGATTAATGATCCACAGCTTTTTAAGAAATGTTTGCACCCTAATTTCAGGCATCTAAAATAATCATATATAAAGGAAGCGTTTTCTGTTTGCACCCCTTTGAAACTCAAATGCACCCTCAGTCAATTTGCTCTGCTCCGGATAAATCCAGATTGGCACTTAGTTTTAGTGCTGATGATATCAAGGTTTAGTCATTTAATTTTCAGAAAATGTCAGATTTCACTTAAATTTAAATGTGTTTTAAATTGTTTTAGTGACGTTTCTGTATGTTAAGCCCCAAAAAGCCAAACATTGCTGTAACATTGTCTTGGACCACTTTCTAATCCTTGCTGCATTTTCTTGGTCTGTCATCCTCCCCCCTGCACTCCTCTGTCCACTTTGGGTTGCCCCTCTCAGCTAACGGGACAGGCTCCAGCAGTCAGCTCTCCACCCCGATTTCTAAGCATTCCCCCACCTCCACCCCCACCAGCCCAGGCCACAACAACAAGCAGAAGGTACCCACCCCGCTCCCTCCCTACTATCTTCTCCTACTACTCCTTCTTCACCACTATTTTATACATTAACACACTTTTTATGCTGTTGTCTTTACAGGATCTATATCTTCCGTTATCTCTGGATGATGAGGACTCCCAGGGTGAATCTATGTAAACATCCATCTCCTACCCCTGAAGCGAGAATCTTTGTTTTTACTCACTTCATATGTTGTCATGGAAACTACATATTGTCTATTGAAAAACCTTATTCATCGGGGCCATGTATGTTTGCTGCTTGTGAATTTCACTATCCTTTTTTTTAATCCTGATGAAAAAACATTACACTAATCACTTGCTAATGTTCTGGTGTTTTTAAAGTTTTGTGGGTTAGTCAGTTTAGAAGATGCACTTGTTCACTTAAGACAGGTTTCACATTGTACAAATATTTCAAATTACGTTTTTTACTTGTCACATTTGAACTTTTTCCACTTCTGATTCCAAGCAGCAAATGGACATTTTAAAGGGTGTTTGTTAGAACTGGTTCAACTTTGATATTTCTCACAGTGTCCTTCTGCCCAACAGTTGGCAATGAAACGGAGGCTAGTCTAAGTCTTGTAGCCCGCTGTATATAATGTGTAGAACTACTGCATCACTGCGCATTGTCTGTCACTGTTTTTCCGTCCATTTTCCTATGACATTAATGTTTGACTAACAACTACATAGTCAACAACAGGGTATATTTAAAACAGAAGAGGCACCCACTTGTCATGCAGATTAAGTTGTCTGGGATACTGGCAGGAATCCGGTATCGAAAGTTATAATTGTATTGATTGGCATATTCTTTAAATGGATTTAGGCTGGTGTTTCCTCTGTTTTGAGCCCATACAAACACATTATTCAATAAATAGTTGTCTGAACATGAGATGTCCATAAGTGCAGTGCATGATAAAAAAGCGTGACTTTTTCATACTATGGGCATGTCGGACCTAATGGTGTTTGAACAACCAAAGGAAAAAGGCCATTTCACCACATGCAGTAGTAGTTTACTATTCCCTCATTTTTATTAAAAGCATTAAGGTCTTAAAGCCAAAGTATGTTTTAGACTAATATTTATACAAAAGGGATCATGGTTGTGGCTCTGCGGGACATTTATGCATGATATTTTACTGTCAATCATCGGAAGGTTTTAGATTCAGAGCTAAACGGGAGTGGGAATTTTCATATTTTGCATGGCTCAGAATAGTTTTCAGATAACAGGGAGAAGATCTTGTCTAAGTCTATGTGGGTTTTTATATTTTATATAATGTATTAATTTATATCAAGGGTATCGTTTAGGATAAGTTTCTATACAATTTTAACTACTACAAACACTTTACCTAAGTCTCTATTTGAGGTTTTTCTTTTTCTATTCCACCAAACCTGCATTATGTGTCTGAATGACTGTAAAAGACCTCTCAGGTTCTGAGCAGGGATTTAAATTGGACCCACTGAAGCACAAAGTCAGAATCCACAGCAACTAGACACTTTACTGTCTATTGGCCAGCACTGCAATCCGTGACCACAATTAACAATTACTATAAAAAAGAAGCTGCAGATGTAGTAGCAATTGATTTTTAAATCTATGCATTTAGAGATAAAAATATTTTAAAATGTCACATGTGATGACAAGTTTTTTTATACCCAAGAAATGACCCAAGAGATGAGCTTAAACTGATGTTGACCTGTTTTGTTGTGAGTGTTCTGTTGTGTCTGAAACCTGAGTATGTGTTTTACTGTTATCCCAAAAATTTGGTGCTGTAAGTGTAATAAACATATTTTCCCTACAGGGGGCGCTGTCACACCAGCACAGATTAAACCAACAGGGACAGACAACTTTGAGAATAATAGTACAAAAACACATTGCTGTATCAGTCAGATGTAATTCACACGGTCTGTATCTTCTTAATATTATTTCATTTGTATTAATTTTTACAACAACTGTCAGAAAAGTTTTGTCTTGTGTATCTGGCTCATCACCTACAGTGGTGCCTTTTTTGAGTACAATTTTTGATAAGATATGAACGGGACATAACTCCACATACAGAGGCCTCCAACATTTGTTTTGTAGACACTTTGTCCTGGTGTAAATAGACTTCCATCTTTCATATGTAAACCTTTTCTGAGCAAATCAACTACTTTTTTTCTTGGAAATTTTACAATGTCATTTTCGGTGGTATTTTGCATTGTCACAGTGGCTTATCAACGCTTCATTCAATGTATTAACCAGTATCCTTTTGCAATTAAAATGGTTGAATTTTATCTCTTTGGTCTTGATCTTCATTTTTATAAAACAAATGGTTCAAACACAATATAATAAAGCCATACTCACTATTATACTCACTATTGACCCCACATCCCATGCTTGGTGCTTGCTGTAAAAATTATTAAAAAGGAGAAGTTTTGTCCCTGAAAAGGCTCCATCATCACCATGGAAACTGCAAATGTGTCTTTGACACCATCAGAAGTTCTTTAGGCCAAATTCCCCACACATTAAATTATCTGTAACTTTTCTAAGTTAAGTAAATGCTCATTTGGTTTGTTTTCTGAAGATATTTAATGTTTATTCATCTTTCTGACAGTAATGTATAGATAATACTGTCAGAAGGCTGCATTATAAATGCACCTGTGACCAGTGCACCTGCCTGACCAGTGCATTGTCCTGTTAGTAGCTCTTCATGAATGTACATTTTGTATAGTGAGTGCATTATAACTCTATAGAGCTGTCACAGTAATTTTGTTTCCAGATAATTGCTATAATATTTCAGCAAATTACTGTAGATCATATTTACAGGTGAGACCTGGGAACACTTTACAGGTTTTTGTTGGGTTATTTTTATTTTTTATTTTTTTACATTTATTCATTGGTTTGAAGTATACAGTAAATTATTGGTTTACTGCTTACAACAAAATATTGTATATTAAATGTAAATGTATTACCTGGCAATTTTGTTGCCAATACTTTCCTGTAATTTAAAATACAGCTAACCCATGTATTGTCATATGAATAGGCAGACTCAGAGTTGAGATGGACTCAAACATTTATTTAAAAACAGTATACATATACACAAATATACATTAAGATATAGAAAAAGGGATGGCGGAGGCACTCTGATTTGGGGTGAATTTATTAATGGTCACGCCAACACGTTGCGTAGTCGAAATGCGTTGGCGTGACTATTAATAAATTCACTGCAAATCAGAGTGCCTCTGCCATCCTTTTTTTTTTACTCTACAAGAATCTAAGCCCTCTGGTTTGATGAGCACCTGTATGCATAAGTTTTTGATCCAGTGCAGCACTCCAACATTGTTATTTTTATTTTATTAAAATATGCCTGGATTTAGATCTGGTGATACTCAGAAATTCAAATATGATCTTGGTGGTAATTGATGTGAAAAGTTTGAGAATTGTTGCTTTAAAGATTTGTGCACTAATAAGTAATATATATTACAATGTGCTGATAATAACTAACACTAATTACAACTGACTGATTTAGATGCCAGCAAAGAGACGCAGAGACAACAATGATGATGAAGGTCGAGCTAGAAATTTAAAGAGGAGCTGGGACAATGATGAGGAGGAAGTTCTGCAGAGGGCCAAGAGGCTTTGTGTGGGCAAACCCTCCAAAATGCTTCACTCTGTCATCCTCAGACCAGAAAATGTGGCCATGATGATGATGAAGATGGAGCTCCAGCCCTTATGAAGGCCTGTGTGGAGTCTGTGACCCCAAACTGAAGCAGAGGACATGGGACAATGCTGAAGACTATAATGAATTTCTGAGGACCAAGGAGCTTTGTCTGGGGAAAGTAGTCTTGTGGGCTGAGCAATGGACAGAGTTTTGTTGCTAACCATAAGGAGGATTCATATAGGACGTGGCGTGGCGTGGCATGGACATTGATATGATATATCATATATCATATATGATATGTGATATATAGAATATATCATATATGCTCAAGTAGGGAGAAGGTAAACTGGGCCATTTTTGGTAAATCTCCTGGGACGATAATTTTAGGTAGTTTGGCATTGAATGATGTTATTATAGGTTTTAAGGACTATTACATATATTTTGGGTTAAAACTGAAAAAATAGAATGCATTTGTTTTTGTCCCAGAGTTTTTGAAACCTCAGCTGGTAAACATTTTGGAGAAATGTTTGCCATCTGAGGTCAAATGAGCCACTAATGAGCCACTGAAGTGAGTCAAAGGGATTTTTAGAAAGTAATTTTCAAAGATTAAAACTGACATTTTTGTAGTTTTATCTTAAACATGTAAAACATGAAATGAGCAAATGCATTATTTACACAGCTCTCCTTGAATGGGGTGCTCTCCACCGTACATTGTGGAGCACAGAGGACAGACTGGATTTCTGTATGTATGAACATACATTCATTTTCCTGTTAATAATTAAATAGAATAAATTTTTACCAGGCAAAGCGTTAAAAACTAATTCTTTTGGTGTGCATGCATTGTTGTCCATGTGTACTTTAAAATAAACATTTCTTTTGTCCTTAAGAGACTTGACTTGTTTATGAATTTTACAAAATCACAGAGAAAAGATTAACTGTTGTTTCATGGGGTGTGTTTGGGGGTGCCTCATCAAGATCATACATCAATCATGTGTCTGTGTTGTACAACACCTGGGCCTTTTCAGTTTACTTTAAGCATGTGAATTGCATTAGCAAATGTAGACGTAACCTGAGATTTTTGTCGTGTGAAAAATAGTTAAACAATGTCCTATAGTTCCTAGTTCAATTGCGTTTACTATAATGTAGGCTATAATATATTACGCGGTCTTTGCTGACCCCTAGTGGTAGCTCAAAAAGTAAACATTGCATTTTTTTGTAAGAAACGAAGTTTTTGTTATGACGGCAATGAAAATAATGACGTCTCTCTCTTTTTTTTAATTTATTTTTTACTCTCTAACCGCATTATTTATGTTTGCTTTAATAAAAGTGTTTTGCATTCACAAACTAGGCTTCAGACACTAATCTTGCTTTGATTGGACGTTTGGGTTTTTGAAGAACTAACAAAGACACGTGACTTACAGTTTCACTCCTTTTTTCGTGGACGTCTTCGGCGTTGCATCTGAAGAGAAACTCTAACCCAGACAGACCGATGCTGAAGTTCGCTTCTTTGTGATGCAAGGGTAACTGCTTTAAAATTACACCTGAATAATTATTTTGTCTTGTTTGTTGCATATGATCTGAACCTTTGCAACTGTTAGCCTATATCAAAGAAGGGAGATTAGACTGTACCTCTAGAAACTACCGTTCTGAACTGCTTCAACTTCTGTCATTTGATACAACAGCATACACCGTGACAATGTAACTGAAAAGATGGAGGATGATTTTGAATATAAAATATTGTGAAAGATTTCTGAATGTTCTGAGGTTGGCACTGCAGCACAGAGTCACATTGTTTCAACCACAAGAGACACATTCATGTCAGCATGTTTATGAAATCGGGAAGAATGCGTCACAAGCTCGTATTTCAAGTAACCATACTTTTATTTGAACACAAATTTCAATGGATACATTCTTGCAAAGTTATTTTGCTGTTGGCAAAACTGTATGAACTTCATTGCCATGGGTCCCTCAAGCATTCTTCTGCTATCCTCATGTTACTCAAGAGCTGATTTAGAGGGCTGAGCCAGCTTCAGCTGTAATTGAAACAATATGTTTGATGCTACTAAAGTCTTTAAAAATAGACTGCCACACAGTCTTGACGCAGTCATAGTCTTTTACCATAACCTTTTATTTATTTTGTTGCATAATACCTTGTTTGCTCACAACACTAAACATACAGGTAGCCAAAGTTTATCAGTAGACACTGATAAAGGACATGTGGCCTCTTGTCTCACCTGTGGTTGTTTCATGGGTGTTTCCTTTCAGTTTCCTCCTCCCTCTCGTGCCGACTTGAATCCAGCCCTCAACTGCCAGACCAGTTTCAACCACTGGTTGCACACCCAGGAAGTAGACGGCTAAGAATAATAACATGGAACTACTGATATATCTTTGACAACAATTTGGGGAACTGCCTGAATGAAATTTTGAAGTCCTACAGACTAGGTATGTTTGTATACATTTAAAATCTCCAGCTGATCAGCAGTTTGCATTTGTTGTAAATCAGCTTTTCAAGTTAGTTTAGACTTTATGCTGAATCAAGTTTCTGCCTGAGACATGAGAGATCTCAACATACTCCTAATAGTATCAGCGGTATTAGTTGAGTTGTAAACAATTCAGATGACAAAACTGATATGGCCGATTACATGATTGGTGACAGCCTTTCGTCATTCAAATGTACAGGCATTACACTTACTAATGTCAATTTCAGAGTAAAACATAGAGTAAGATCTAATATTAACTTGTTGACAACACTAGGGCGTGGCTGTATGCACATGCTGAAATTATGTGAGAGGGCAGAGTGAACAGGTAGCCAACAATACCTGCTCACATTCTTTTGAGTGTGAAACCGGAAGATGTTTGGACACAGGCTCAATACTGCAAATGGTGGGATTAATATTAACTGCTTTGTTTAGAAGTTGTGGGCTTGTTTTGAGTCTCAAAATAACTTTTTTTTTTGTTTTCATACTTGAAATAGGACTGTGATTTGGCCTAGTAGCTGATACTGACAAGTGGTAAGCTATACTATTTAGAGACAATACAGTTTTTGTACAGTGAATTATACTTATTTTGTTGTGTTATTTTAGGGCGTTTAATATGAGCAAATTGTCCTTTTCAAATTTAAGATGGTCAGATTTTTGTAATGTTTCCGGCCACCCTGAGCTATTACCATAACTCATTCTGGGAATTAATATTATGATCTTATACATGTTGATTAGGAAGGGTGTGTTGGCTCTACTTGCCTTCAGGGGATGTTTGCGAAAGAACAAGTTTCATCCTCACATTCTCAAAATTTATTCCCACTGTCGACTTAAATGTCGCTGAAAGTTTGGAAATGGCAAATAAGTTAAAGGCCTACTAGGAGAAAGGTAGAACTATTTATATACTCTTACACTTAATCACAAAAAATTTCTTAGAAAGGTAGTGTTATAATTACTTTGACTATTGTGGTTCTCAAAAGTAATACAAATTTGATATATCAGCTTTGTCAGAACTATAAGAACTAAGATCCCATAGTAACGCAAAGAAAGTACTACTATGTTGGTGTTGAAAATGAATCTATGAAATCTATTGTCTAAAAAAATTGCATTTATTAGGCCCGAGCGCCATGGGTGGCGTAGGGCCTATTGTTACTGTTCAGCAGTGCACGCAGCGCACGCAACAGAGCGCAAAGCGCTCTCCCCTTTCCAAACACACACTCACACTCACATGCCAGTGACTGACATGACATGGCACGCTGGCATCGCCCGTGGGCCGCGACAGCGCCCTAATTGTTACTGTTCACTCCAAAACGTAGATCAGGTGCATTCGTGGAGCACGGCATGTGCAGGGCTCAGCATGGTCGAGGTGCGGCGTGGCGTGGCGTAGGCTCGAGCGAGGGCCGATCATCGCCGCTTGCGGCTATATTTTATTATTATTGTTGTATTGAAATCTCTATAAAGTATCGAATGTATTCCATAGTATCAAATTAGGTTTAAATTTTAGTATCGTGACAACACTGTTTTTATTTTGGATTTGAATCTCAACATCAATTGTCATTTTATTTTGAAAGATAACATGTGCACAGATCTGAGTACTCCTTCCACTACACCTCTAATTTGTGTTTCTGTCTAGTTTGGTAGTTATTCTGAGTATTTCCTGTGTTAAGTTACCTCGTGTCTGGTGTCTGGTCCACAGCTGTGAGCCCTCTGCACCATGTTTTCCTCCGCTGCCCCATTCAAGAACCAGCACTACTCCGATCTGAAGAAGACCTGTATCAGGGATAAGGTGCTGTTTGAAGATCCTGAATTCCCTGCCAACAACTCGTCCCTGTACTTTCGGAAACCTCCACCTGGAAGAGTGGTGTGGAAGAGACCAGGGGTAAGTGCTATGGAGCTCAGAATGAAATATCAAGAAACATGGAAATCTGCCATCTGCCATGTTTGCCAAGTGTACAAAATGTCCATAGAGATTTATTAACAAAAAGTAGCCATGGAACAACCTGATAAGATGTTCACTGGTTCACTACTATACATTTATCTATAGTGTCAGAATACTTTGAATCAAGTTTAGTATATAGCATCTTAAAACTTCCATTGGTTTAACATTAGACTAACTGCAAATTCTATGAGGTATAGCAGCACTAAAAGCAAGTCCTATCATGTATAATCCTTTTGTGTACTATGCATGATTCACTACATACACTCAGACTGTGAAATGTATAGAACCTCCAAATGACTGCATGTCCCTCCCGCCTGTCGTAGGAGATCAGTAACTCGCCACATCTGTTTGTGGAGGGTATTAGCTCACATGACTTGAACCAAGGAATTGTGGGAAACTGCTGGTTCGTTGCTGCCTGCTCCTGTTTGGCCCTGAAGGAGAATTTATGGAAAAGGGTGAGTATAGCAGTTGAAAATGCGTGTGTTGTTTTAGATGTTCCAAATGGCATTGAAAATTATCATGGATCTTAATTCTCTTGTTAACAAAAAATGTCTAACCCCATTGCAATAGAATGTAATTTTAAACACAAAGTAAGCATGAGTAATACTTCATTATTACCATTTGGGCTTATACAAATTCAGATATACAGTAAAAAAAATCTGTGATTTGTTTTGCAGTAGAAATAAATTAATGAATTTAAAACATTTATTACAACAGATGGTCATACACCGATCATACAATTTTGGTATCAATTAGTAAAGTAATGATTAGTAGTAATGATTTTTGACAACGCAATTTCCACAACTTGTTAACTTTTTAAATATCCCAATGCTGAAGAAATCAATACAATAAAAATAATAACTCTTTTGCTAAATTCTACACTGTGGACTACAGCAAAAATGTGGTATAACTAGGTAATGGAATTCACCTGAAGGTCTACGTGAACTTGGACAAATACCTGTGTCTTTCATTACAGGTGATCCCAGACTGGAAGGAGCAGGAGTGGGATGACAAACACCCAGAGAACTATGCAGGGATCTTCCACTTTCAGTTTTGGATTTTTGGGGAGTGGATGGACGTGGTGGTGGACGACCGACTGCCCACCATCAATGGGGACCTCATCTACTGTCATTCAAAAGACAACAACGAGTTCTGGAGCGCTCTGCTGGAGAAGGCCTATGCTAAGTGAGTAACACCAAAGTCTTCAACACTGCAAAACATGAATATCAATATTGGTTTGAATTACATGAATTCAAGAGAATAATATTAATTTCAGTAGCTATTTAGACACTTCAGATAATGTTCTTAGCGTGAATGTGGTGTGTTTCTGAGTGGTGGTTGGAGGGGCTGAGTGTGCAGATTGGTAGTCTTTCTTCTGTCAGTCTAGCCCAGGACTACAATAGTAGTTTACCACCATCGAGTATGGAGGGGATGAATTATGCACTAAATTGTTGAGTGATTTCAAGTTCACTCTATGACAAATGCATTATTATTATTATTATTATTATTATTATTATTATTATTACCTCTGACAAGGAGGTTATGTTTTTGCCGGCGTTTGTCTGTTTGTTTGTCTTTTTGTTTGTCTGTTAGCAACATAACTTAAAAAGTTATGGACCGATTTTGATGAAATTTTCAGGATTTGTTGGAAATGTGAAAAGGAAGAAGATTTCATTTTGGGGGTGATCCAGAAGAAATCCTGGATTCTGGATCACTTTGAAATTTTAGTTAACATTGTGGTAAATGGGGCCAAAAATTTTGTTTCTCAATATCTCGGTTAATTATTGACCAAACCCCATGAAATTTGACTCATGGATGGACAATGGGATCCTCTTTCATATTCCAAAGGCTGATCTGGATCTGATCCAGAAGACTGATTTTATCGCAATTTATATAAAAAATGGGGGTAGTCCTTGGCGGAGGTCTGCGCTCTCTGAGTGCTTTTCTAGTTATTATTATTATTATTATTATTATTAACTATAATAATAATAATAATAATAGTTAATCATTTACTAGACTACAATTTTCTTTTTTTTTTATTATTTCAAGCTAAATTATCTTCTAACCTGTCAAAAATGTCCCAAAAACAATTAAATATTCTGTGTGACATAAGTAATTCAATTAAAATTTGGCAAAATTACTGAAATCCAGATTAATATTCTGAATTCAAGTCATTTCAACCAAGGCAAGATATAGAAACTATAATATATCATGATCAGAGACACGTGCAGCAGAATAATTAATGTGTCAGAACTACAGTATTTTTCATAGCAATTAAATATTAATGCTAATTATTGTGTGGAACAGTTGATTAGACATCCAGCTATGCACATGTAATTCCAGTGTATGAGATGCAACCTTTTTCCACAGGCTGTCTGGCTGCTACGAGTCACTGGAGGGTGGAAACACTGGGGATGCAGTGGTAGACTTCAGTGGAGCTGTGGCAGAAACCATTGACCTGCAGGAGGGAGCTTATCACAGTGACCAGAAGAAACAAGATGAACTGTTTGCAGATGTGCTCAAAGTCTATGACAGAGGAGGCATTATCAGCTGCTCCATCAAGGTCAGTCACAGTATTATCTTTGAGAGTCTGCCACCTGCTTGTCTCCATGGGTAATTAACGCCTGGAGGGCTCCACAGTATGACATTAAATTTATCCATCTTTTTTTTGTTACTATTACTTTATTGTTTAAAAAAAAATCAAACAATCAATTACTGTGAGCAGGGATGCCTCTCCATAGATCTGACCTGTAACTTGGCCTGTTGACGTCACCCACTTGTCTCTATTAAGATGGATACTGTGGAACATTTCAGGCGAAGCAAAAACACAACAGATGTCCCAGAGTAACAGAAATGTTTGTGTACATTTTAAAATCTCATTTGCAGCCAGCAGAGCAGTCAACACAGCATGTGAACACATGATATACAAACTAAAAATATACAACAATACATTTTGTAATTCAGTAAAGATGATCTTTTTAAAAGACTAAAGGCATTGCATTGTGATAAAGGATATTTTGAACCTGTTGGCTGTGTGTTGTGTGTTTTCTTAATACTTGAAACAAAAGGAGGACTGTGGGATCTCTAAGTATCATGATCAAAAGAGTATAATATATCCGTTCTTTGTTGGAAAATGTTTTACTGATATCTTACCTGCCAGTAAAGAGTTCAGTGAGAACTACCTAAATTAAGAAATGCATGCAAACTTTTCTGTTATCTAAAATTTTATACATGTAAATATATTTAGTTCCAGTGTCTGTTCCACATTCCACACCAGTTCCTCATTTTTTAGTTACTATCCATTTGTGGAAATATAATGGAATATTTGTAGCCTTCTTTGTGAGTTCTAAACTAATAGAACCTTTGTTACAGGCTCAACCACATGAAATAGAGTTGAAGATGGCCAATGGTCTGGTGAAGGGCCATGCATACTCTGTGACGGCGGTGAAGAAGGTGCGACTGGGTCATGGACTGTTGGCCTTCTTTAAAAATGAGACCATCCCAATGATCCGCATGAGAAACCCCTGGGGCAAGACTGAGTGGAACGGAGCCTGGAGTGACATGTGAGGCAGAAACACTGATAATGAGGCAACCTGCTAATATTGATCACTGTGCTATACTGATCTGCTTTTAAAATGCAAAATTGGATCTTATTCAGATTTTTGATGATGTAAACTGACATCATAGTATGACTTTTCAACAGATAAAATAAAATTAAAATGTTTGACTGAAAGAAATAAAAAAAACAACTATTTATAGTTTTGATCTGTTAAACATGATAGAACAAAAAAAAACAACAACATATATATATATATATATATATATATATATATATATATATATATATATATATATATATATATATATATATATATATATATATATATATGTATATATATATATATATATATATATATATATATATATATATATATGTATATATATATGTATATATATATATATATATATATATATATATATATATATATATATATATATATATATATATATATATATATATATAGTATATATATATATATATGTTTTTTCCAAAATATACAACTTAATCACAAATACAAGTTTTATACAATATATGATATCACTTACTTATTGTGTTACTTTTTTTCTTCTATATACTCTTTTAGCTCTGAAGAATGGTCTAAGGTCGGTGACACTGAAAGAGGAAATCTTGGCATCACAGTTGCTGATGATGGAGAGTTTTGGTACTTGCTCAATTACTGTACATAATACAAAGCCTGTGCCTTGCGGTACTAATAGGGCTGGGCCATATCTTATCACTGGTGATGTATTGTGTTAAGTTTGGGGATTTGGGAATAACTTATTATTTAATTTTCCTCCCAGTTGTAAGGAGAGGCAAACAGCAATTGTTGCTAAAACCTAACTTAAACAGTGACCATGAATACTCTCTGCAGAGTCTGAAAACTTTAATAATAAACAAGATCAGATGGGAGGAATGGAAGTCAAGCTTATAGTTATAACTGAAAACAGCCTGAAAGAAGTAAAAGGAAATATTATATAAGCCACATTTTCTCTTTTATATCCTGATAAAACATTCAAGCCATACTGCCCTGCCCTAGTTAATAATTAATACCATTTTGTGCATTGATGTCCACAGGATGGCATTTTCAGACTGGTGCAAGTTCTTCACCGATGCAGATCTTTGTCGTCTCATCAATACCTCCGTCTTAAGTATACACAAAACCTGGAATGAGGTTGTGCACTTTGGGAGCTGGACTAAAAATGCTGACCCTCTCCTCAACCGGTGTGGGGGCTGTGCAAACCACAAATTTACGTTTCTACAGAACCCACAGGTATTTAACACTAATGACTGAGTGATAATAACTGACTGATTTAGGTAAAGCTATTGGGTATTAACATTGTTTTTGTGCAGTATTTGTTTGATGTGACAAAAGAGGAAGATGAGGCCCTGATCTCTCTGCAGCAAAAAGATATGAAGATTCACAGGAAACAAGGCCAAGGGGAAAACCTGACTATTGGCTTTAGTATATTCAAGGTATGGCTCTTTGCTCTCTGACACAGGCCATGTAAATATCAGTATTACACAATAGCCCAGTACAAAGTAATATCAAAACATTTTCTTATCAAGGTTGTATAAGTGTATAAGTAATCTTGGGTTATTAGTCTTTCTACATCTACAAAGCTCAAAACGCTCTCTTCCTCCTGACCTTATCGTGAAGCAATATGATTCACGTTAACAGCTTCCTTTTAGCTTTTGTTCAATAGAAATTGGCAATTCCAAGGCTGAAATTATTCAAATGATTCTAGTGAAGGTACGTAGAACCACGTGACATCACAAGGTGGAAGTGTGAAGGAAGAACTCAGCCTAAATATGCAGGGTTTGTGTGTTAAACATTTGTGAGTGAAACAAAAAAACAGTTCCAGGTATGTTTTTTGATTTTTAACTGGTCAGACATCAGCCAGAGCTCAGAGGATAACAGACTATTGTAGCTGTGAACTAGGCTGTTGTAGAGCATAAAAGAACCCGTGTGATTACTTCAGCTTAGACAGATTTGTTTGTATTGTTCCTATTTCAATCCTCTATTACAACACTACAGGCCTGTACACTAAACATTACAGATTGCATTCTTAGAACAAGGGAGGTGTAGGTGGAAAAAGCACAGCACTAGTCACGTTGGACCACATTTACCATCGTAGTGTATTGTTCTCGTAGTGTTGAAGAGTTAGTAGATTGACAGTGTTTTCTCTATTTCTCCTTTAACCACTAGAGGGCGACGCAATTCCACGTACCCTCTGCAAAATCTTTAATGGTCAGAAAATAACTATGATTTATTAAAAATAAGACATAATTCAAATAAACGTGCCTCTTGTAAGAAAATGAAAATTGAATAGTTTTGTATTGGAGTGTTTTAGTGACTGTATTTTATAACAGATTATTGATTGACCCTCTCCATAATCCCTTTAAAAGTGCATTGTGTAACTTTTCTGTGGAGGGTCCCTCAAACGCTTTTGTCTGTGGAGCCATTATTGCTGATATGGAACATTTCACAGTATGATATTAAACCTTTCTATTTTCATGGAGACCAAACCAGACCAAGTTACAAGTCAGATCTATGGAGAGGCAACCACACTCACAGTCAGAATGCCTGTTTTTCTAGGTATTTTTGAACTATAAAACCACTGTAATTAAATAAATTTAAGGTAGATCTGTTTAATGTGATACTATGGAACATTCCAGGCAGAGCATTGACATCCCCATAGAAACAAGTAGGTGATGAACCCTCCACCAGAAAAGTTACACAATGCACCTTTAACCAAGCACAGAAATCTACTGGAAAAAAATAAAACAAAACATGCTTTTAAATCAAACTTGCATATACATACTCTTATTCTAGATCATTATTGATAAAATTTATTTTATTAAATATTTCATTTTTTCTTGTATTTTTAGGTGGAATTGAATAGGAAGTACCGATTACACGACATTATAACTCAAAAGTGTGTAGCCACTTCGACATACATAAACGCCCGGACAGTCTTCATGAGAGTGGACCTAAAACAGGGCCGATATGTCATCATGCCAACTACATTCAAACCACTGACCCTTGGGGATTATATGCTCCGCCTCTTCACCGACGTGGACTCTGGATGCAGGTATAACTATAAAAGATGTTTTATGTTAACAAATTAAACAATCATAATTAATTGGAATTAGTCTGATGATCACTTTTTTTGATTCCGCTTTCTCCTGTGTATCTTTTTATTATGAAATTTGTGATGAACAGTAGGACATTTTATTCTCATTGAAAGGTAAAAATTGCATCAAAAGGTAGCATTGTATTCAGAGTAAATGTTTGTCATCTTCATCTGAGAAACACGTAGCTAATGTATTCTAAAATATCAACATGGACAATAACCCTCTGAACTATATCAAATGAAGTTGTTTAATTCTGAGTTGCAACGTGATTCAAGTCCATCCTCCATCATAAAAATTAATGTGGATGTAACGATATCCAAATTTCTCAATACAAGATTTTCACAATATGCATCTCATGCTATGATATTATTGCAATATTTTGTGGAGGCTAACAAAATTGTGAATTGTAGTTCACAATACGATATCACAATATTTCTGTTATTGTTACATCCATGTATATGAATGACTCTGTCCTGTGGAAGGGAGCTGACAGAGGACAAACCCAAAGTGCGCTGCTGGAGTTCATTTGTTGGTTATCCTCAAGTGGTCAGTCATGTCTACATTCACGCAGCAGCGGGGCTGGAGAACCAGGACAAGAACGGAGGTAAGCTGTGTTTAAATCTAATACGACTACTGCAATAACAACAATATCTGTAATCATCTTGAATCTCACCACCTTCACCTTGTCCTGTGGTGCAGGAGCAGACCCCTATGTGATTATATACTGTGAAGGGAAGTCAGTCAAGTCTCCTATCCAAAAAGACACATTAGAGCCAGAGTTTGCCATCAGTGGTGTTTTCTACAGGAAGAAACCAAGGAAGCCTATCACTGTGCAGGTAGCACAACTTTACTATTCTCTGATGTCTTAAAATATGTAGTAATTTGGTGTGGCTGCCTTTACTGACGTGATAGAATATCCTCTGCAATGAACAAAATATCATGTCTTTGCACTTGTAGTTTAGACCTCTACAAACTGAAACACATCAGCCATTCTTTATTTAATTTATTTTTAGCCATTCAAATAAATCTTATTTTTGTATTAGTTTATTTGATAATATTTCAGTCTTTCCTCAAATGTTAATGCTCTTGGAGTGGTTTGCACTATGTGCTTTGAACAGAATGAATCCATAAATTACATAAATCACAAATCTGATCACTATCAGATCACTATCACTAATTAATTTTATTTCCATAACTCATGCAGCCATATGAAAATACTGTATATTTTTTGTTTAGTGTTGATGTTATAGTTAAACATGTAAAATATTCTGCTTGTGACACTGCAGATCTGGAACAGTAATGCTGTGAAGGACCAGTTCATGGGGCAGGTGATGCTGTCGGGGTCAGTGAAGGACAGTACTGAAGCTCAGGCCCTGCAGCTACGGAAAGAAGGCGCTCAGATGGCCGATGAGATGCCCGGGCAAATTAGCCTGAAGATCGTCACAGCTACTCAACTCACCGCGATATAACCATATCGTTGTGGAACTGACTAACAAGACCTTACCAAAGCAGTGCTGTAGTTGTGAACTCTGTGAATTGTTATAATGAGTTATATTCACCAATGAGCATTATGCACAGTTAAACTGCCCGTATGGTTGGTTTGAGAGTAGTCTGTGTTTTGGGCAGCTGTCAAACTGTGATGCATTGTTTTCATAGGGATGGGACAAGATTTCGTGCCAGAAAATCTTGATCTTGTCAGACAAAATTGAGCAACATTGTGCACACAAAAATTATCTTGTGATATTTTTTCCAGCATGTTTTTTTACCTGTCTAATCCCTCAGTCATCCAAGTTTTGTCCATAGTAAAAGAAAAAAATAATTCTGTCAAGTGGACAAAACCTCTTCACTTTAAAAGCTTTTGTCCATTGGACAGAATAAAAACATTTTTTGCTATCATTGCCACATTTTCATGTTTGGATTGGACTAAAAAGGCATTACGTTCTGGCGAGTTACATTTCTTGAGAAGCTGCGGTTCCAAAAAGCTGAGCTACACTGACAGCAAAAATATAAAATAAAGTTAATACAATTTCTTGTGGACATTTTCTCGTCCTACCCCCATGTATTCATACTCCTCTGTTCTGTCATTACCTTTATCAGCCATTGTAGCTCGGCTAATTTTAAGACAACAAACTATATCAGTCACATTACAACTATGCGCTAATCATTAATTGAAATATATAGAAAGAGAGAGAGAGACTGAAAGATTGAAATTTGATGCTTACTTGTTTCCAATCCAAATGCATTTGAAAGTTTACCTAGATTTTTTACACTTGTATAAATTACAGATTTTACACTAGTGGTGTTTTACAGAATAGATGGAAAACATTCCTTTTGTTGCAATGGCAGAATTCTCTTTGCATTAGTTTTTAAAGGATTTCTATAATAAATATTTTCTAGAAAACAAGAATTTCAGTGAATTTTGTCCTCTTTTTTATTTCAGTCCAGTTCCCAAACTGCATTTTTTACACTCAAGACACAGCCATGCACAATTCAAAGTTCAAAAAGTCTATTGCTTCAACCACAATTAAAAATAGTTTATCCAAAACCTCAATTCCCCATCGTAAGCTTGTCCATGCCCGAGATGGGGGAAAGTCTGCTGAGGTATGCCGGATGGATCAGCAGTTTTTTACAAAGCTAGACAAGAATAGGAGTAATAATAATAATAATGGTAATAATTTAAAAAGTAACATTTTTTGTCTTTGTTCCATTCTCTTGATACACATTAATAGAGGATTTTATCACACCACGTTTTACACATTCAAATGATAGGAATGTACAGGAGCAACCACAGAGAGGGGGCGGAGTCCGTGTTGTCTCTTGTTGTGCTCATAGTTGAGACCTGTACATTTGGAGCGTCCTGTCCTCAGATGGGACATTCACAGGATACACTGGGACAGTCTGTGTGAGCCTGCACACAGAGGAGTGCATTTTCGGCTTTTTGTCCCAATCAAAGAGCATCCAATGAGCCCAAAGCGGAATCCAGGAGTGCAGCGACAAGTGTACTTCTCCTCTTCCAGGGTGCAAAACATTTAATGATACATACAGCAACCTGAATATTGATTTATATTTTGAAAAAGGTGGCCTCCTGTTATATTTACATACATACATAAATATCCTAACAATCTATTTGAAGATGAGATACAGTGTTAAGTTTGTGTTTCATGCATGGGCTTTGTTGCAACCTCCAGTCTTGTGTACATTTGCTGTACAGTGGAGGTTAGTATGACCAAGCAGCTTACCCTGCACCTCAGAGTGGAACATACAGGTGAGGCATTAACTATAGTGCAGATCGAGGCAGTTCCCTAACACACACACTCACACAGGGATGCTAAATGGTAAAAAATACACACTATATGAACACAAAGCAGACATACTTTTCAGCATTTTTAAACCGGTAACAAAGACACAACGTAATAGTTTGCTCCACAGTTTCCGGTTTGTATTGGTCATTAAACAAGTCATAAAAAAGATGTTTCTTTCTAATAAGCCACCCACTACAGCACACACATATCACTTAACAAACATCACGTAAGACACAATTTAAAGACACTGTTTCATGAGCAGCAGCTAAATAACATGTAGATTTCTGTTCAAAGCCTCAGAACGACATAATAATTTAAATTGAAGCTGTTACTGTGTTTATTGTTATCATTTTGCTTTCGTGAAATGTCGTCTTGTTCCCTGGTTTAACAGGCACATGTAAAGCAGCAGAGATAAACAGTGCTGGAGTGTATGCAGACCATTGCTGCATGCGGTCTGAAACATTGAACTGTACTTTGGCGTATACTTTAGGTTAGTACCTGAATAGATGTATTATCTTGTATATTAGTGGTCAATTAGTTCAAAGTTTGCTTAGTATTCTGTACCTTACCTTGCTAGTACCACAATAAAGATCAATACTACATGAAAGCAACTGAGTTTTCTGAGTTGTAAGTCATTCTTCAATTTAAATATTTTGGTGACCTAAAGTGGTAAACTGATGTTCCTGAAATGTCCACACGTTGTAAGATAAATACTAAATCACTCATACATTCACTCTACACATACATACACACACACACGCACACACACACACACACACAATGTCACACGTCTACACAGTAATGTGCCACTTTGAGATGTGAAATCTGCAGCAGTGTTGATCCACACAGTTGTCATCATGCAAGAAATGTAGGTTCCAGAGTCCCCCAAAAACAGGAGCTTAAGATGAGGCCTTGCTCCACTGAGGGACTAAAGGAAACTGACCTAAAGCTTGGAGAGGGATCACAGGCGGTTTGTACTCACTCCTGAAGTTCCTGGCTTTTACCAATCCTACTTTTGGTATGGGAGCCTTCCAAACATGACCATTCAAACACACATTCAGACACAGGTCGAGATGCACCACTTGTACAGTGCTGGAAAAGGAAATATGGAGGCAAAGTTTGAGCAGCGTGCGACGTGAGGCTGCAAGGCCAGTGTCCGTCCTGCATACGGAGCCTGGGGTATAGTCCCTGTGTAATCAAATTACACAGTAACCCATATAGAGATGTCCCAGTCACACCATGCACCATCCAAACACCCAAAATGCACTTCTCCCATGTAAGTGCTGCAGCTTTGGGCGTGGAGAGAGGGTGCGTCTTAGCGACTGCTGTTCTTTATGGCTTCCTTTGCAGCTACAATCAGAGGCGTCAGGCTGGACAGAGGCTTGGCCAGCTTCAGGAAGTTATGCTGTAGAATCAGAAAAGGCTGCTATCAGCAAACTAAAAGACAAATACAGGTCTGATGCCCACTAGAGGCCACAAGGGGAATAGAAGCCATTAAGACTTCTGATACTTGTAATTTGGAGATGCTTTTACCTGCAGTAGCTCCTTGGCTGAGCCTCTGCGGTCCACATCCATCTCCAAACAACGATTGAGGAAGTCTCTGAAAACTGATGAGAGTCTCTCTGGGTTTTGCAGCTCTGGAGTGCCGTTAGTTGCTATAAGGTACAGGGCCTGGATACAACACAGACAGATAAATTATTATCATTAACAGTATAATATATTATTATGATAATAACATCTGAAGTATTAATGAAAATAATGTAAAGTTATTTTAATTCAGCTGCTTATGTCACTTTTACTTTATCATTCAGAAACTTTGATTATATGCTGGTCACATACTAGAAGAGTGGTAATGTATTAGAAAATAAGAATGAAAGGAAAGGTTTCACTTTAATTGACAGTGTCAATAATTATGACTAATCATTTAATTGTGATTTTTTTGTTTTCACAATAACTGAAACAAATTTTGTATTGTGACGTCCCTAGTCACCAGATAGTGCTCCTTACCCTAAGGGGATTTTCATTCAAATATGGGGGCTCTCCTTCAACCATCTCTATTGCCATGATACCCAGAGACCAGATGTCTACTTTGGGGCCGTAGGCTTTTCTTGTCACAACCTCTGGAGCCATCCAGTAAGGCGTGCCCACCATTGTACTGCGTTTGTTTTGCTCTGGCGTTATTTGAGCGCAGAACCCAAAGTCAGCTGTAGGGGGAGAAATCATTTAATCAGTGAATGCACATTACAGTTTTGATGCTATATCTCACTTGTGCTGATAAAACAAGGATTGGACGTACTGAGCTTGACAGATCCATCCATACCAAGGAGGATATTGTCACTCTTTATATCTCTGTGAATGACCTGGTTAGAGTGAAGGAAGTCCAGAGCCTGAAGACACTGTGGGTAGAGACAAACTGCAAGTCATTTTTTGAATGATAACATAAAGGTCAATCGCTTTATGGCACAGAGGACAGGCCCAAGAGGAAGCTGCTGATTAAGTGTAAGGTTGGCATAGTACCTCTCTGCAGACCGCAGCGATCTGGCCTTCATCCATACACGTCTCTGTCACTACATCTGTCAATGAGCCTCCAGCCAAATACTCCATCACCACCCATAACTCGTCTCCCACCAAGTAACTGACGAGAACAAACAATTAAAACAGATGAGTAAATTGACTTTAATTAATATACTAAATATTTGTAACAATATGGAACCTATGTACATAACATATGAGTAGTGTTTTAATATTTTAAAATGAATAGTAAAAAAATAATAAATGAAAATTGATAAGTGATTATTTAAAAATGTGCGGACTGCAGGTGGCAGTAAAGCACAATTTCTTCAGCTCTGATGCCTCCATTATGGGGACATATAAGGAAGTAGTACAATAAAGATGTGGGCTCATATACATCTGTTTTTGTGTTTTCCTTTATCTGGAAAATAAGTCTATAAAATATCTCGTGCTTGCAAGTGATACAATTGTGAGTGTGTGTGGATATGATTGTGAGTGTAACGACTATATAGGTAAAGTATACAAAACCCACCTGTCCAGATAATTTACTATATTTGAGTTCTTGTTTTCCCTCATCACCAGGATCTCATTGATGATCAGCTCCTTCTTGGGCTGCTGCTGCAGATTCATCTGTTTAATGGCCACCTGAGACAAGACCATCACTTTGTTAACATCTCTGTGAAGCGTTCTCAAATCTAAAGCTATAAAATTAATTAAGTAATATTGCTCAAACCTCTTGGCCAGTTGCTATGTCTATAGCCGTATACACAGTGCCAGATGCTCTGGAAAAAAAAATAAATTAAAAAAATCAATATTATACCATGAAATTGCAAAAGTCAGACTGAAGCCCCTCTATTGATACTAGTATTTTTAATGCCACCACAATGACTGACTTAAAAACATTTCTCTTTGTACTGAGACAGCAAAGGTTTACAAACTAAGCACAAACACAAATAATTTATAGTTTCCAATAATTGTCTGCAGTCAGAGGAATGTATGCATGGATTCAACCCTTATTTGGAAGTAACTCCTGAAACCAGAGACCTGGAGCAGCTCCTGTCCTTTCTCTGTCAGATACAGTACACCAGTGTCCACTCAGCGCTCTAAATAATGAACCAGGCCCCGTTGCTCTCATGTGAGACACACAAACTAGTTTAAAATACTAAACCTCTTTTATTAGGTCATATTTTACTGTCGCTACAGTTTAAAGAGATATTGACTTACCCTTGTCCAATTTTCTCAAAGCGCGTGTACTTCTTTTTGGGATCTCCCACGCTCACAATACTCCCTGAGTCAAAAAGAAAAATAAACATGTATAACTGATTAAGCCCATGTGTGAGGGAGAGTCAAGGACAAAATGGACAGCTGTGAGGTGTATCTCTATTTTAGGCTGATTTCATGCCTTTCTAATACAAATGTAGAGACTAGAATTATACATTTTTAAATTCAATAACAGTACAAAGGGTGAAAGAAAATGCATTTTGTGAGAAAACCTTTGTCTTCAAAAAGTTCATGCAAGTAATGAGGTTAAGGATATATGAAATATTCTGGTGTAATGGGAGGAAACGGTTTTGTCCCACTACTGACATTAACT